AGCTCCTCCATGGTCTCCCCACGGTGGCTGGGCTCTTCCTCACAGACAGCTTAGCCATTAGGAAATAGCTTAAGGCATTCTCTACATCAAGAAAACCTCAATCCTTCCCAGAAGAGCTTTTTCCCCTTCGGCACTAAGCCCAAAGAAACATTTAGTTCTAATCGTTTTGATATTCTTTAAAAGATGTCGAGTCACTGAGCATCAGGAAGAAGATCAGTTCCAGATAACAGCTTCTTCTACCAACATTTAAGGAAAGGATAGGAGTTCTTCACAGGCTAGATCCAGTTTAGAAATGTTCTACTAACCTGAGATCTGCGCTTCATCTCTTCAGTCCCTGTGTCGGACCCTGCTGAGGTCAGAGGCTGGGAGAGGTCAGTAATCCAGGTTCTGGTGCTCTCTGCCTGAGCTTTAAAGCTGCTGTACTTCTCCTCCAGAACGTCGAGGTCTGCAGCCTGTTTCTGCAACCGCGCCTCCAGGTTCCGGTAGCGCTGTAACAAATTGTCCCCATCTTTCAGGATGTTTTCAGCTCTAACACCCTGCCTGCGTATGGATGCCAGGAGCTCACTGAGGGCTGCAGCTCTCCCACTGATGGACAGAAGAAACACAAAATGATAAACGACTGGATGCTGTCATTCTAGAACACGAGGGAATCCGTTTTTGCTGCAAAACATATCTGTTTTCAGTGGATCTACCTTCCAGACCACTCAGGTCTTCTAGTTCCAGCCTACTCTGTCCACCCAGAACTAGAACCAAACAAGGAGAAGCAGCATTTATGCTCCACTGATCTGGAACAAACTCCCAACAGACTGGAAAAGAGCTGAAAGCCTGAGTTCTTTGAAGTCAGAGTTAAAAACTCGTTAGTTTAGAGCTACCTTCATTATTACTCATTATTAGTTTAAAGTACTGTAAGATGTTTTCAATCGTTGCATGCAGCTACAGCTCACATTGTACGATGAAACTGCAGGTTTTAAAAGTTCACAGCTCAGGATGTATGTTCTCACACTATGCGGCCCGACGCTCTGATGCGATCTACCTGCTCACACTGTACGTCTAAAAACAACGTGGGACTCAGCTCCAAAAGATGGCGCTGGTCGGACTCGTTAGTCTGGGAGAAGAAGAAGAACTCCCTTGTTTGCCCATGCTCAGTGCTGGAGGTTCTGGTACATTGGCTCGTAGCTCTGCTTCAACGACAGGATTTAGCCACAAACACCTCAGGAGGACCAACTGGATTTCAAACATGTTTAATTTTTCTCCCGACCTTATGATTCCCTGTAGACTACATGACGCACCATGAGGCTGAAAGTCGGCCTGATTGAAAAATTTCAAACAGTGTGTGCCTGCTTTAGGTTGTGGTCCAACTGATTGATTTGTTTTACTACCTGCATTTATAAGCTTTTTATCTTCATTAGCTCTTTTCTGTTTTTCACTAATTTATTCTTCTATTTAAGCACTTTGAATTGTCCTCATACTGAATTGTGCTTTAGAATGAACGTGTCTTCCTCTAGTGTGAGGTTAGCAGAGGAACCTGGGAAAATCTCCATAATGATAATCCTTTAAAGAAAGGAAGTAGAGCACTGGACTGCTGAACTGGACCTGATGAGGGTTTGACTCGTAGCCAATCAAAATATGATGTTGAGGTCTGATATGTTTTTAAGAAAT